CAGCCCGGCCCTGCCTGAGCAGGTCCTCGTAAATTTAGTTCCTGCTTCCTGCGAAACCACAGCATCTGAGCTGCGACAAGACACCTCTGGGCCCTTGAGGGAGGCTGGCCTTAGTCCCATGAGCCCCAGACAGTGTGGGGGACCATGGGCACTGCAGTCCAAAAGCCGTCCGAGGGCCACAGAGGCCACCCAGCTGACAGCAACTGCGGGATCTGGGTTGGAAGACGGGAGAGGGATCGCTGCCAAAATGTATTCTGACAGCCCGCCAGACGCTTCCAGAGGGAAGTGGCCCTCAGACAATCAGAAAAGCAGACGTCTCTCCCAGCTGAGGACGAAAGCATGAAAAACTTACAGGGGTGGTGCGGGGCGAGGCAGGAAGTACGGCTTGGCCGCCAGGCACGTGGGCGTGAACACCACCACGTGGAGGAGCAGGCTGGCTGGGGCTTGTCTCGGAGGGTTCACCCAGTCCGGGGTGGGGGAGCAGGATTGCCAGCTGCAGGTGCTGGCAGAGCCTGAGGGCCCGCTGAGGTAGAGGGCACCGGCCGGGCCGGGCCGGGCACAGGCTTGCCCGAACTCGTTGCGCTGTGTCGGTAAACCCTTCCAAAACAAAGCTAAAACATCCCCTGCGGTTTCTCCTCCCAAACCTGAAAATCCTGATCGGCGAGGGAGAGAGGAGAGGAAAACCAGACCCCGGTGGGAGCGTGGGGGGTTGGGTCCGGGGGGGCCTTCTCACTCACCCTAACCCTTACCCTATTGAAGGACCTCCCCACACATTGCAGGCTACTTTCCACCCGGAGAAGAGGTAGGCAACCCAGACCTTCCTCTGCAGCCCGAGCTTTCTTTAAAAAGCCCCATTTTTTTTCAGCCGGAGAGATGGCCCCGTTGCGTGTGCCTGACAAGGCTGATCTCGCCTCATGCCCGAGGATGCCCTGCCCAACCCATCACAGCCAAACAAGAAGCTACAGGGACCCATGTGCTCAGCCTTCTGCTTCTTGCGCCGCCTGCCCTGAAACAAATACAGCAGCTGGCGGTCCCTCCGTGAACAGCGGTGGAGGAGTGCCGCTCTGTGTTACGCCTCTTGGGCCGCGGCGAGCTCTGCCTGGTTCCTGCAGGTTCCTCTCCTCCAGAGAGAGTCAAGAGTCCACGGCAGAGGCCGCCTTAACGCTGAAACCAGACAACAGCTTCTCAACCAGACCCAGACGGAAGGCAGCGGTGCTCCCTCCATCCAAGCTGCCCTGCTTAAGGCAGCCCGCTTGCGCACAATGCCCGCGTCTACTACCCTCCCGTGACCAATCGCCCACCGAAAGCAAGCTCACTGGCAATGGGCAGAACTGCAGAAACCTGTGCCAGAATAAACACATGCCCACAAGTCTTTAAGGAAGCTTCCCTTCTAATGGCAAAGCTGCCACCTTATGCAGTTGGATCCTGGGCTCCCTGGCTGGCGCTCCCTTTCCTCCCTGGAGGGGTGTGCCCTGTCCTAGAGACATAAATGCCCGGTGTCACCTGGCCACGTGACTAGAGCCCCCCCCCAACACATGCACCGATCATTCTCGGAACTGCTGCCATTCAGGCGCAAACACTCTCCCACGTTTCCTGCAGGCTGGGTGTCTTTGTGCGTGGCCCTGTCAAGGCTCGGGCTGGGACTGATGGGCAGCCACAGGAATTGGGGCGACAGCTGGAGTACAGGAGGGGGGAAAGGGCAGAAGCAGCAAAGGCTCAGCAGGATAGGTCGGAGGTGGGGAGGCGTTGGGGGCTCCCAAGAACAAGATTCGCAGTTAATTTAGGAATTCCAGATTCAGAGAGACAACCCTGTTGCCCTATGGCAGAAGCGGGCAATGCGCATCAACCTCTCTAGCCTCCCCAGATCCGTGAACAGGGGGGCTGCCCCCCCCCAAAAAAGTAATTCTACTCCGCTTGGCCTTTTTCACAGCAGAAAAGACCCCATTTATTTATTCTGAACAGCCGGAAACAACCAACCAGGAAAGACAGCCTGCAAAAATCCCAGGGATTGAGGACACGAGCGACTCTCCCCTGCGGAGAGCATTCAAAGACGGAAAAAAATATTTGGCAATCCAACAAAATAATTCCCTGAGTGGGACTGACCAGCACCACCCACCTGTGTCCGAATCCATTCTCCCTGTAATGATTTGAAGAGTTACCCCCCACTGGGCCTCCCCTCCCCCCTCTCCCCCAGGGAGGGCCCCCACTGACCTCGTGACCTGCTTGTGGAAGTCCGTCAACTGCTTGTGCGTCACCTGCACCGCTCCCCCCGTCGATTCCTTTGGTAAGCCCTTCAGCGAGTTCTCCAGCCAGCGGCAGAAGGTCTGCGGCCCATTCCGGGGCCGGGCAGAAAAAAAGAGAGAGAGAGAGAGAGAGAGAGAGAAGTGAACCTTTCCAGTGAGACGGGAAGCCTCTCGGATGACAACAACTCAGAAAAATTATTGTGGCCGGTCTCGATTAAGCCAAGAAAACAGCCGTTTTGAAAATCTTTAAAATAAGGACACACATCCTGAGAGCGCTGAACCCTCAAAAGCATTGTAAAGGCTAAATGGATAATAAAGCCAAGCCAAGTGTGCGGCTTATATACCCGTCCCATAATGTTGAAGGCGCTCTCCGGGTAGTGTATAATTTAATTAGGCTGGCTACACATTGCCTCCGTGGCCAGCAAGCTGGGTACTCAACTGACCGGCCCTGGAAGGACGGAAGGCTGAATCAACCATGAGCAGAGTCTTGACTGCAGGACTGCAACTGAGCCATAACAGATCAGCCAAGGCTTGCTTCACCTGGAAGGCCCCATCCAGACAACCCTTTGCTCGTACACAACGGCGGCAGCATTCTACCACCAAGGCAGCACCTTGAACCTCTCCCTCTCCCAGAGCCAAACCCCCTTCCCCCCAATTCCTTACCGGCCGGTCGACCTGCATGATTTCCCACAGCACCTCGGCCACGTCGGGCAGAGTGTAAGGGGGCAGACAGAAGCAGCTGGTGTGCAAGAGCTGGTTCACGAGCTGCTGGCCCAGCTGCGCCATCACCTGCCCGATGAGCTCCTTCCGCGCCTCGAAATCATCTTCGTGCTGCAGGAGGAGGAGAGGTGCGTAAGCAGGGTCCCTCTTCCAAGGTGGGAGAGGCTGGGTGCCTGATGGGTCTCCCCTCCTGATGCTCCCCCTCCAGGACAGGGAAAAGAGGGGAACATTACCCCCCCCACACACACGTACACACACTCGTGAGACAAGCAACCGTAACAGCCATCCTATTCCCTTATTCAGGCCATAAGAATGCGGAAATTGGGCTGAATGCCTCCTTCTAAACAAAACAAGCTGCCCAGAATCGGTTAACCCCGGCAAGAGTTCCCTCTCGCCTCCAGTACAAGAACAAGACAACAAGCATGAGGGGGGTGGGAGGTGGAGGGTTCTGTGTTCCATTCAGGACGGCTCAAAACCTCTCAGCTCAAAAGGAGTCCGTTCAGCTTTGCAATTCATGCAAAACCCCTTCTCGCCAACCTGAGCAACCTCTGGTTGAGATGGACAGAAAATGCGCGCACGCACGCACGCACACACACACACCACCCCATCTTTCATACAGGAGATAAAAACCTGCTACCCCTTGCTCTTGTAACCCCAGAGAAAGACAAGGTAGGCTTTCCACTCGTCCCGAACCACTTATCCTGCCCGCCTTTTCCTCCTGGTGGTGTGTGATGAGCTGCTTGGCTGCCCCACACAGCCCCCCCCGGGTGGGATTCCCCATGGAAACTGCGCAAATGTCCACTGGTCCTGCGAATGGGCGTCTCTAAAAACTCTGTCTTGATTAGCTTCCGGTTTAAGGTCCTCATCCTCACTTTTAAAGTTCTCCACTCCTGGAATCCACTCTTCCCACACCTCTCAGGTAGACCACATGCCCTCTTGGGGGAACAGCACTATTACTCCTGGGTCCTGCACACTGCTAAGCAAAGGATCGACACCAAGCAGCGGTTGATCCTCTGAAGCCAAAGCCCAGGCACAGAACGCTGCTTCAACAGGGATACCCTTGACTCATGCAAAGAATGCCTCTGAGCGTACCAAGATTGCACCCCTCCTGCCATAGGGAACCTTCACCAAGACTCTGCCATTTCAGAATAAGGGGAAGTCAACCCAGCCCAAAGCATCAAGGGCTGACGTCCCCCCAGCTGGTGGAACCAGAAGAGGGAAAACTACAGTTTCCAGAATTATCCCACAACTGAGCTGGGATTGTGAAAAAAAGGGAGTGCCTTCTTTTTAGCTGAGGGCACAAAGGCGTTCTTACGAAAGTCCCTGCCCCAGAGATCGTCACCACGCCATTAGGGGCTGTCGCTGGGGCTCCCTGGCAGCGGCAGGGAAGTGAAGATGCAGACGGGAGTCATTTAAACCAGGAGTCCCCAATTCCCCCCCCCCAGTTTGCGACCCAGGCAGGACCGGGCCACGGACACAGATCTGATCCCTCCCCAACTGGTCCACGGTTGGGAAAAGGTTGGGGACCACCAATTTAAACAACCTGAACCACCCTTCTCCCCAGAACCTGCAAAGGGGGGGCCCACTCACATCATTGGCCACTCCTGTGTGGACAAGGTCACGTAAGAACTTCATGACACTGCAGTTGGCATCGCGGTGGTCCAGGGTGGTGGCGGCGATGGCCCACTGCAGGATGGGCAGGATCACCTGGCTGCGGAGCAGCGTGATCGGGCTGCGCTGAATGAACCTGCAGGGAGCAAGAGCCGTGAGATCGCATCTCCCGCCGTGGGAGGGGGAAAACCAGGGGGTCCCTCTGCACAGGGAGAAGCAGCCGTGCCTCGGGGGAGCTTACGGCCCCAAGTCAAGAGGTGGTGGTCGGCCTCCAAAGCTGTCGAGGGCCTGGGTTTCAGGTACGGCCCCAGAGGCCACAGGAGATTGCCCAGATCATGCTTCTCCTCATTTCCCAGGGAATGTCTGCTTCTCAAGGGAAGACACGTCCTGGAGACAGGCGTGGCCCCCTATGGAAGTTTGGGTAACATAGGAATCTTCACTTTTAAAGCCTTCCACTTCTGCAGCCCGTCTCTGTCGCCTCTAAGACAGGCTGTGCCCCTCCACCGAGAGGTGGAAATGCTGACCTCTGCAAAAGCAAACCACTTTTGCTCCCTCCTTAACGGAAGGAAGAGAGCCGAGACTGGGTGCCGAAAGGGGACGGTGCCGGAGACACCCAGCTGCCGGGCACGGGAAGCTCGGGACGAAGGAGGAGGCACCGGAAAGGAGGCAGAGACACGCTCAGGCCGGTACCTGGTCGCCAGCCGGAAGAGGTCGTCCACAGTGTCAGGGTGGTTCTGAAGGCCATTTGGTTGCTCGATGAGCCTGAAAGTGGGGACGCACAGAGCCTGGGAGGAAGGGAGACAAAGAAGCAACGTGAAGCCTGGCCGTGGGCGAGCCGACGGGCGCCGGGAAGGATGGGAGCAGCCACCCAAGACATCAGGATGGCCAGCCAGGTTAAAAGAAAGTCCCAGAGGACAGGGAAAGAGGCGACTCCGGACAGACTGAAGGGGACCTCTCAGTGCACAGCAGGTTGGAGCACTCCGGTCCTAGTTGAGTGTTCTTAGCTGGGACAGCAGGGCCCTGAGCGACAGAGGTTGCGGGTGTGACCCAGGAGAGAGGCCTCCATCCACATGCGCACCCAAGGAGCGCATCGTGCCACAGGGTGGTTCTGAAAAGCAGCCTCAGGCGCCGTAAAGAGTGGCTCAGGCGTCTCTTCTTCCCCCCCCCCAGGGGGAGGGGGGTCCCCAAGGATGGCTTTACCTGAAGCATGTCAAGCAGCCCCTGCCGGCAGCCCTCCTCCATGCCGTACTCGTCCACCAGGATGCTTCCCAGGTAGAGGAAGCAGGAGTGCTGGTGCTCCTGGTACACGCTCACCATCTGCCAAGAAAGCCACGCCAGGCTCAGAGAAGGAGCCTCCGCTGCCGCCCGTTCAAAGCAGCTCCCCCAATAAATCAGACCTCAGCTTTTCCAGCCTCCGAAAGGTCCCTTTTGAGCTAGAATTCCACCGTCCTTGATGGCTGATACTAAGCTCCATCTCACGTCTAGTTCCCCCTCTGGAGTAAACCTGCCCCAACGACTAGCATGCGATAAATTAACGCTGACCCAAGCCCCGCGAAGTCAGCGGGTCTGGCCTAGTGGGAGAGCACCTACTGATTGGAGGCACAGTTTGGAAACCTGCTTTGATCAAATTTAATACGAGGCCAGTCATAGATGAAGGAAGAAAAGCCAGAAGACGGGGGGGGGG